CACGCGCCTTCCACGACGCGCTGCGGCTGCCCGGGGGGGCCAGGGCGCCCCCATCGCGTCCTCCTCACCGGCGGCCTCGACGCCGACGCCCGTTGCCGCGCCGAGTGCTACCTCCTCGAGTGCGGTAACCCCCAAGACGACGAGGAAGGAGAGGGGGGGTTTCCCGTGCGGGCGAGTTTCTTCGGGTTTTTGCCCACCCCACGCGCCTTCCACCGTGGGGTGGGGCTGGTGGACGGGACGGTGGTGATCGTTGGGGGGCGGGGGATCGCCAACGCGGACGTCGCCCCACTGCTCACACTGAGCGCGGAGGAACTTCGCGGGAGGGTTGGGCGGCCACACGAGAGCCCGGCTAAACACGAAAACTATACTAACCACAACGTTTACGACGAAACCGACACCCCTTCGTCCCTATGGCGTACGGTGCTGTGGGATCCCGCGCAGGGTGTGCTGCCACCGCTGCCGGACGTCGCCGTGGAGCGGCTCCCACCTCAAGTAGCTGCACCCTTTTCCGAGCGCCTCGCGGTGCTCGCGCAGCTCACCACCCCCTGCCACGTCGTCCGTTTTTTCATCGTCGAACTCCACGAGTGGGTCCCTTCCGCGGAACGCGGGGGGGAGCAGCGGCTTCGGCACAGCTACGAAGCTAAGTGGGTGGAGATCGGGCTAAGGGTAGGCGCCGTACCGAGGCGCATTGGCGGCACCACCTTGCACTTCTATCGGGGCTACCTCTATGTTATTGGCTGCGCGGAGAACACCACACCATCCATTTTCGGCATGGGGGAGGATGAGCCCCAGCTTAGCGGGGTGCTACGCATCCTCGTCGGGGACGATTAGCTCGAAATTTTCTCGAGAGTGCACGTATATATATATATATATATAAATATATATACGTGCGTGTTTGTTTATTTATCTATGCATACCAATATACACCCGTAACACAGAAAAGTGTGACATACTACTTCCAGCACCCCGTATAACTAGGAAAGGCTACTTAGCTTATATACCCTCAAAAAACAAAAATTTCTCTTCCTCCCCTCCCGTTGCATTTTGGTTATCATGTTCTATGAATTGGTACATACATCATTGTGTACGTAGTACGCGTCGTATTCTATTGAGCTTTTTTGTCAATGCTTGTAGAATTACTACTCTTTCAACAACCTTAATCAGAAATGAAGACTTTGCCATGCGGGGGCACCTGATCCTTGCGATCCTTGCATGGTCGTGTGGGCTGCCTTATCCCATGTGCTCCACCACATTCACTCGTTTCCTCCATGTGTTAGCTCCTCTGAATCTTATTATCCCGAGTAGAAGCCACTCCCCAACACATAGTATGTGCAAATACTCATTTTCTGAGCTTCTATAGCGGGATGCTAGCTCGAAGCAAAGTTCGAAGGCCCTCCCCTCTTCTACTCTACGAGTGTATTGTGAGGGGCTTGTGGTTCAAAAGCTCTGCGAGATATTCTTTGGTGTGTCTGTTTGCTGAGTCCTGACTACGATTTGACTGGCCTGTCATGGCACCCAAGCAGCATCAGTACAGCGACAGCTTCTGTAATACAGAATTATTACCTCTATGGGGCTGCCTGCTGGCGATGTAGCGAGATTTCACGTGTCGTTATGGGAACATCGCGTGTGGTAGGAGATGTGTGTTGCTTATGCAATCAAGTGGGAAGCCCCTTTCAGCATCCACCAACCAGCTTCTTTCGAGTTAAACAACAAAAATGATACTCATGAAGTCAAAGTGGATGGCGAGAGCTTGTCGTATTCCTGCTCCTTCCTTGCATATAAATTAGTTAATTTTGTATGTTTGTTTATATCAGCCGTGGAATCGTGGTTTGTATTGCTCTTTTCCTTATGGATTGCACATAGAGTTACAAATCATCAAGCCACTGCAAGATCTGCTCCGTTTGGTTTATTGACTATTTTTTTCTTCTAGAACTGTCTTGTTTTTGGTTTTGTGCTATGGTTTGATTGTCTGCGTGCATACTTTTTCATAATGGTACCATAAATAATGTTATTCTTAAATTTTTTCTTTCAATTACCTCTTCATTTAAGAAGACTAAAATGCGATGTATTCTTTTCTTAAAAGGTGTGTTTCCCTAATGTTTGAAAGTATGATTAAAGATACAAACTTACTCATTCTTTCGTATTGTGCCTCAACATCGGAACTTTTTTATTATTTCAACACAAGAAAGGAAACACAGCACATAGCTATCATATAAGGAAAAAAACCCATAAAGAACGCGCCGATGAAGATGAAGTTTTTTCTATTTAACCTTTTGGTGGTGTTACTACTTTTACAACCCTTTTCTGCGAAAGCGGCAAAGGTTGCTAAAGAAAAGTATGATTCCGACGATCTCCCTTCCTTATCGGATATTCTCGCTCAAAATTTCGAGGTTAGCGTGATAACGCAGTCTTTTGGTGTTTTTAACGCCTCACTTCGGATTCAAAGCTCGCCCTACTTCAAGGGGCGGCTTTACGGGGAGCTCATTCCTCATGGTGATCTTCTTCTGATGACGGAAGCGGGTGACGCGACGGGCACCATTCCGCACTTTTCTCGCTTCCGTGAAGCGATAGATGATCAGCTGAGTGTATTAACCTCGAGTGCGGAGTTGTCTTCTCAGATGCCGAACGAGCGACCGACGCTGCTTGTGTTCGACATGGAAGTCCGCACGCTGCCCTCCAAGCAGCGACCATCGATTGAGATCAGGGCGTTTTACCTACCAGAGGCCCCAAGCGCGCTGCAGGAAATGCACGAAGCGATTCAAGAAGGTACTGCACTGCCCGTGGCGATGGCGGAGCTTTTTTTCCGCCCGACGCGTCCTGCCATGACGAGTGTGATGCTCAGCGACATCCCCGTGTTCGCGCGGATTGCCTCCGCGATGCTCTATCCCCCTGCCGATTCCTCCGCCAAGACCGCTTCTAAGGGTGGTATCACCATTAATTTCTTCTCGGAGCATGAGTTCACGATCGATTTGCGGCTTTCAAAGAGCCTTCTAAGGGGTGGCTTGGGGGCCAAATCGGAATCTTCATCCGATTCGACGGGTGATGCGGGCGACGAGCGTGTGTGGGTGCACGGCTACGCTCCGATTTCCGCGCGGCTTTCACCTCGCGAGGTGCCAAGTAGGCCGTGGTGGGTAGTCCCGTCAACGATTCTGATCATCCTCCTGACGTTTTTCCTCCAGATCATCACGGGAATACACGATGGCAAACAAAAGGCCGTTAAACAGGGGAATCCGAACTCGGCCGTCACCGCAGCCGCGAAAAAGACGAATTAGTCCACATGTAGGACAAATAAAATAGGATTGTTGAGAATATTTTTGAGGAAATGGTTTAATTTTAAATAATTTTTAGTAATATATCGAAGCCAGCTTTTTTGGTTCACTCTCTTTTGTTCCGTATACTCCTTTTGAATACGCGAGGCGATTCTTTGTTATGAGAGGAATTTAACTGTGGATAAGGATGGGTTGAAGTACTCCTATCTGTATACATAAAAAGGATCGGGTGAAGTCCTTTTCCGAGAGGAGAAGGGGAGGGGGGGGGGGGTCTTTAGTGGGAAGCTCGCTTCGCTTTCCAAACCTTTCACATCGTTTCCTTTTTCTCTCGTTTTTGCTTCTCCTAAAAGGTTTTCTTTTCCAAACCAGGCAAGTTGGTCGATGGCCTCCCCATCGCGCACGCCCGCCGAGGCCGTCGAGCCCATCCGCGCGTCGACGCCGCGTTGGGTGCTTCAGGTAGGGCGCCGCGCGACGTACCTCTGCCGGGCCGGCGATCTCCTCCCGACTTTTCCCCCCATCAAACCCCCCATTACCGAGGCCCTGATCCCCCCCTTCCCCTCCGCGAGCGCGCGGTTGGAAGGGGGCGGAATGAACCAAACCCCACGGGAGGGGACGGGCGACGGCGACGGCAAAGGGGAGGGGGACGTCCTGCGAG